CCTTAACAGATCCACGGATGCAACCGGCCCCACACTGTGGAGACCACAAGAGAATCTCGGCCGACCGCCAATCAAAGGTCGGATTGTGCTTCTGAAGCCAGGGATATTCCAAAACCATGGAGTAGTGTGGGGAAGAAATTACCTGGAAACAGGCCAACTCCCTGTGAACAGCCCCAATAGCTACTTCAACCGGCAGGGTCTCGTGGGTAACCTGCGGCAGTTGCAGGGGCCTGCCATCTATCGCCTCGAGGACCAATGGAGTAACTCGAGCCTGCAGAGGAATAGAGTACTGGGCAGCAAACAAACTGTCCATAAACAACCTGCCAGCACCAGAGTCTACCAAAGCCTGGGCCGTCACCGAGCCTTCCGCCCAAGAGAGGACAACGGTGATTAGCGGTTTTATCTTTGCGGGAAACCGGGGACGAGGAAACTTTACTCAAGATCTCCCCCGACAGGATCTAGGGTGCGAGCGTTTCCCGGACAGACCGGACAGGACTGCCGAAAATGCTCACCGAGACCACAGTACAGGCAGCGACCCTCGACGCCTGCTCCCCTCGGAAAGGCGAGCAAACCCCAGCTGCATGGGCTCACTGCCGGACAAACCATCCCCAGGAGGCGTGGGAGGAGAGGGAGGAACGGGTGGGACAGAAAACGTAGGCGCCAATTAGTTAGGAGGCCTCCGCAGACGCTCCTTAAGTGAAGGCCTCTCCCTGAGCCTGGTGTCAATCAGGATTAGGAAGGAAATGAGTGCTTCGAGCTCCACAGGCAGTTCTTTGGCTGCAATCTCGTCCTTCAACGCATCTGAGAGACCATGAGAGAAAGCAGCCACCAGAGCCTCATTGTTCCAACCCACCTCTGCCGCCACGGTATGAAATTCTATGGCGTACTCGTCAACGGTTCGTGAACACTGATGCATGGACATGAGCAGCTTAGCAGCAGAGGCGGAGCGAGCAGGCACATCAAATACCATACGGAAGGAGGCAACAAAACCGGCAAACTCGTGAATCACAGGGTTATCGTTCTCCCATAAGGGATTTGCCCAGGCCAAGGCCTTGTCCGAGAGCAGCGAGATTAGGAAGCCCACCTTTGACCTCTCAGTGGGAAAAGCGTGGGGTATCAAATAAAAAAATATATGCCCACTTGGTTAAGGAAACCCCGACACTGACTCGGCTCACCCCCAAAGTGCTGTGGAAGGGGGGCTGAACCAGTCACACCTCTGGGCACCGCAGGTGCGGCAGCAGATGTGGAGGTAGGCGCAACAACCGGAGCAACAGCGGGAGTGACAACCGGCCTAATAGCACCAGGAGTAAGGTGCGCTGTGCATGCAAGCAGCGTCTGCAACGCCTGAGCAAACTGACCCAACAAAGAGATCCTGCTGATCAAGTCTGGCAACCAACTTAGGGAGCGAGGGAGTACCTGCACCGTCAGGATTCATGGCATTCTTGTAGTGTCAGGGAGCGAGGAGCCAGACACGCAGGGAGGTGCAATTAAAGGTAGGTTTATTATACAAAAACAGGACAGAGTCTATGCAAGTCCAACAGCAACAGCAGATGACTTGGTAGGACAGTAGCCAGGAAGGATGGTCGCCAGAGCCGAGGTCAGAAGCCAGAAAGGATGATCGCCAGAGCCGGGGTCAGAAGCCAGGAAGGATGGTCGCCAGAGTCGGGGTCAGAAGCCAGGAAGGATGGTCGCCAGAGCCGGGGTCAGAAGCCAGGAAGGATGGTCACCAGTGCCGGGGTCAGAAGCCAGGAAGGATGGTCACCAGAGCCGGGGTCAGAAGCCAGGAAGGATGGTCGCCAGAGCCGGGGTCAGAAGCCAGGAAGGATGGTAGCCAGAGCCAGGGTCAGAAGCCAGGAAGGAGTCTTGCCAAAGCCGAGTCGGTATTCAGGAGAGCAATGAGAAACCAAAAGGGGAGCTTGCTGCTGTGCAACAGACAGGACATGAATGCAATGGACAGCTACAAACAGCAGATTTATATGTGATAAGCCGCCACCTCCTGGGGGAAGAGCCACAGAGGCTGAAAGCATAAAGAATCCCACAATGCTTTGCATACACCTAAGATGGATGCCAGCACATGGAGCAGCACAAGCCCTGAGGAAAGGTAGGACCTTGACAGGCATGCACAGTTTTAAAGCATGTCATGTTTGGTAGCCATTTACTCGGCATACCATCATCTTTTATATATTATCAAATAATTGGCCAATATATTTTGCTTTTGTGCATTAAAAGTAAAAAAAAGTGTATGTTTTGCAAAAAATCTGCGTTTGAAAAGTCGCTACGTGGGTACAATGTGACATACAAAAATTACAGCACCCACCATTTTATTCACTAGGGTGTCTGCTTTAAAAAAAATATAATGTTTGGGGGTTCAAAGTAACTTCCTAGCAAAAAAAACAGATTTTTTTAATGGGAACAAAGTGTCAGAAAAGGTTTAGTCTTCAGGTGGTTAGAAGAGTGAACGATGTGTGGCATAAACTTCTAATGCTGGGCATAAAATGCCCCCACCCCCCAAAATGACCCCTTTTTTTGAAAGTAGACACCCCAACCTATTTGCTGAGAGGCATGTTGAATCAATAGAATTTATTTTTTCACCACAAGTTCTTGGAAAATTACACAAAATTGTCTCTTAAAATGATTTATTGCTCATACATGCCATGGGTATATGTGGAATTACTCCCCAAAATACATTCTGCTACTTCTCCCGAGTATGGGTGTACCACATGTGAGAGATGTTTTGGCGGTCTAGCCAAGTACAGGACCCCAATATCCAATAAGCACCTTCAGGCTTTTAAAGGACTTTATTTCCTCATATATTTGACTCAGCAATCAGCATTGGGGAGGGCAGCCTGCAGCAGTGAAGTTCAGAAAGGAGAAGCGCCAGAGGGGAGAGAGCTAAAGGAGATGCCGGTTTTGCGGAGCACAGGATCATTCTTCCATTGGGCTGTACACACACTGTTTGATTACCCCTTCACCTACCTACAGCTGCCGAGAGATGAGTATCTAGTGGAGGACATAGGGGGCAAGGTATTCAATTTGTTTACTTACAGCCCAATGGAAGAACGATCCTGTGTCATCAGCAACATGGAGGAGCACTGTTTTGACAGAAGGGGAGAGCTCAGCACAACCCACACCTACTCCCAGGAATGGTACACAATACAGGGGGGGGGAGAGAACAATTATTTGTGGATAGGGGGCTATTAGTACTGGGAAGATGGGAAGGTTATGTGCATTAGGGGGATATATGCTAGAAGGGGCGGGGGAATTGAGCCAGAAGGGAGGATTGGGGGGGAATGTTTGTGTTGGGAGTTTGGGCTACAAGGGGGGGATTTGGGTGGGGAGGATTTGTCCTGGTAAGGGTAATTTGGAGGGGGTTATGTTAGGAGGAGGGATTTGGGGGAAATTCATCCTAGGAGGGGGGATTGGAGGGAGAGGATTTGTGCTGGGATGGGGGGGGGGATTTTATGCCAGGAGGGGGTTGGGGAATTTGGGCTAATAGGGGGGACTGTGGGATGTTGTGCTGGGGGATGGTTGGGGGAGAGGATTTCTGTTTGGATAGGAAATTTGAGAGGTGGGAGGATGTGTGCCAGGAAAGGTGAGTTTTTTTGAGTGACAGATATTTGTGCTAGCAGAGGGAAATTGGGGTGGGGTTTGAGCTGGGAGGTGGGATTTGGGGCAAAGATTTGTGCTGGGAGGGGGGATTTAAAGCGGGGAGGGAGTAGAGGACATTTTTTAATTTTTGTTTGCAGACATAATGTATTCTAAGGGGGTGAATGTGCTGATTAGTGCTGTCTTGTTTTTTTTTTTATGAGGAGGGAATTATGCTGAAACAGGATGCTCACACTTCAGGGGCACAGTTTGTCATTTTCTCCCTAGACGATAGAAGACCTTGTCCCGGCACTGCCCTCACTACACACAAGGCACTCAATATATCTCCCCCTCCCCACACAGCACATAGCTGAGTTCAGATTCCCTTACAAACACAGGCCCAACCTGTACAGTGTAAAGCTGGCTGTTCTTTTGCAGTTGTGACCTGTGAAATCCCCAGATCTGAATGTCAGCACAGTTGCAGTAGCCAGCTTTACACTGTGCAAATTGAGGCTGTGTCTGTAAGGGAATCCAATGTGAGCTGTGTTCTGTGTGGGGAGGAAAAGATCATCTGAGTGCATAGGCTGTGTGCAGTGTGGGGAAAGGAGGAGAAGCTCTGCTGTGTGCTTTGCCACCAGTAACCCTGTCCTCTTCTCTGCTGACTCCTGTACTCTGCATCACTGGCCCTGTCCTCTACTCTGCTGACTCCCTGTACCCAGCTGACCCCTGTACACTGCCCTTCTGACCACTGTCCTCTGACCTGCTTAATCCCATTTTCTCTGCCTTGCTGACCCCTGTCTTCTGCCCTACCGACTGTCTGTACACTGCCCTACTGACTCTTCTACACTCCCCTGTTGACCTTTCATCGTATGCCCTGTTCTCCATCCTGCTGACCCCTGTCCTCTGCCCTTCTGACCTCCCATCCTCAACCCTGCTGTCCCTTGCCCCACTGACTGCATGTACATTGTCCTACTGACTATTGTACACTCCCCTGTTGACCTCTCATCCTCTGCCCTGCTGACCCACTGCTCGCTGCCCTGCTAATCCCTGTACGCTGCCTTGATAACCCATTGTACACTTCCCTACAAATGAATGGCCTCTGTACTCTGCCCTACAAGCTTCTGACCCTATTCTCTGCCCTGCACACTGCCCTACTGACCTCATATCCTCTGCCCCCTAACATTTCTTACTGCACCCCCACAGCAGTCAGGCTAGATGCGGCGCTGGGCTAAACAAGATCTTGATGTGTATAACCAGCTTTGCATTGCTTCAATTGACCACATTTGTATTAATTACTGAAAAGCTTTTTGTTTTTGTGTTTGTTACAGCTGAAAGGGTTACTTCCCTTAATAAAGACTGGCATAGGCCATGCCTAAAATGTGAGAAATGTGGAAAGACTCTGAGTCCTGGTGGTCATGCTGAGGTATAGTATACTATGGTATTGTGTCAATACTTCATTGTAGTTGTACAGCATAACTTTCTATCGCTTCACAGTTTTTGAGACACTTTCAATATTCTAGTTAAATATTTTAAAGCTGCACTCCAGAGAGGTAGCTAAATACATATTTTATATTATTGTTTGTGAATATACTGTGTAGTTGGAGTAGCACCAATTGTGCTTGCAGTTGAACTGCTTACTCTAGAGATCCAGGGATCTCCAAGCTTTCTAAATGAAGGGCCAGTTTTCTGTCCTTCAGACTTTATGGGAGGCAGACTGTGGCCATTAGGAGTTGAAAATATCCTGGTGTTGGTGGGAGTAAACAATGCTGCATCATTTTGGTCAGTGGGAGGAATTGTGCCCTATCATTGATGTCGGTCAGAGGAATAGTGCACCATCCTTGGTGTCAGTGGGAGGAATAGTGCCCCATCGTTGGTATCAGTGGGAGAAATAGTGCCCCATCGTTAGTATCATTGGGAGGAATAGTGACCCATCATTGTCATCATAGGAGGAATAGCGCCCCATCATTGCTATCATAGGGAGGAACAGCGCCCCATCATTGGTGTCAGTCGGAGGAATAGTGTCCTATAGATGGTGTCAGTGGGAGGAATAGTGCCCCATCATTGATGTCAGTGGGAGGAATAGTGCCCCATCATTGGTATCAATGAGATGAATAGTCCCCCATCACTGGTGTCAGTGGAAGGAATAGTGTCCCATTGTTGGTATCATTGGGAGGAACAGTGACCCATCATTAGTATCAGGGGAGGTATAGTGCCCCATCATTGGTGTCAATGGGAGGAATAGTACCCCATCATTGGTATCCTAGGGAGGAATAGTGCCCACCTTTGGTATCATAGGCAGGAATAGTACCCCATCATTGGTGTCAGTGGGAGAAATAGTGTCCTATAATTGGTGTCAGTGGAAGGAATAGTGCCCCATCATTGGTGTCAGTGGGAGGATTAGTGCCCCATCCTTGGTATCAATGGGAGGAATAGTACTCAATTGTTGATATCAGTTGGATGAATAGTACCTCATCATTGGTATTAGTGAAAGAAACAGTACCCCTATCGTTACAATGCCCAATCATTGGTATTAGGGGGAGGAATAGTACCCCATCATTGGTGTCAGTGGGAGGAATAGTGCCCCTTCATTGGTATTCTGGGGAGGAATAATGCTCCATCATTGGTATGTTTGGGAGGAATAGTGCTCCATTGTATCAACCACTGACACCAGTCAGTGGGAGGAATAGTTTCCCATCATTGGCACTAGTGGGAGAAACAGTACCCCTATCGTTACAGTGCCCTATCATTGGTGTCAGTGGGAGGAATAGTGCCCCATCAGTGGTATTGGGGAGGGGGGTATAATATTCCTTTATCGTGTCAGTGGGAGGAATAGTGCCTCATCATTGGTGTCAGTGAGAGGAATAGCACCCCATTGTTTGTGTCAATGGCAAGAACTATGCCCTACTGTTGCTGTCAGTGGGAGGAATAATGCCCCTAGGGCTGAATAAAAGCAAGCAAAAGGCTGCAGAGAGACCACTGCTCTAGATAATAATACAGCCAATAGATAGTCAAAACCTGATCCTTCCATATAAGTTCTTAGGCACTATTCCTCCCACAGTCAACTCCTGTAAACTGAGCCAATACAGCAGACCTGTTATTTAGATATCCCTCACCAAGTGTCCTACTTTAAAACCCCTAGAGTATTGAGGTAGGTAGGTGAGTATATGGTGAACAAAATGTGGCTCAAGAGCCATTCCTTATTAGTTACTTTCACAGGTCTTGTGGAATATGCACAGGAAATGCACTAGACTCCACAAATCACTAGGCATAACTGTAGCTTTTGATAGGTGGTTTCCTCTTGTATGATCAAGGCTGCTAAGTGTTAAAGTGGCATCCTATTTGTGTTTTTGAAGTAAAACTCAAAAACTGGGTGCCTTAAAGATGTAGAATGGGGCACAATGGAGCGATGACTGTGGCCCAATGGCACTGAAATATCAAACGTTAGTAGGCTCTTGAAGAAGCATGTTGTTCTTCCAGGTGGAGTGGCAGGGCCACAAGCTTGACATATATTACCTGTAACTGTAAATATCTATAAATGACAGCCAGCAAAAGTATTTTTATCTATGTTTATTTTCTCCTTTCCCTAGCATGATGGCAAGCCCTACTGCAATCAACCTTGTTATTCAGCATTGTTTGGCCCAAAAGGTGGGAATAATATCTGAATATGCATCTGTCTTGAAGATCTAGGCTAATGTTGATTGTCCTGTAGATTACTTTTTTAACTGTATTTTTCTAAAAGTATATGTTAAAAAAGCTTATATTTTGCTATTTAGGCTTTGGACGAGGTGGAACAGAAAGCCACACTTTCAAATAAGTAAGTCAGCATATACTCTGCATGGATTATATAAAATCAGTTTAGAAAGTTTTCATAATTCATAGTTTTCATTTAGGTTTCCATGGTCTCCAGCTAACAAAATTACTATCCATTGACTTATACAAGAGGTTTAAATAAAAATTCAGATGCATGGCCAAAGCTCTACTACTTTAATTACAAAAAATAGCTATTTTTTGTAAAACAATGTTTAGACTCACAAAATACAATTTCCCTTGTTATAATAGCATGTCTCTCTGCTATGGTATACTCACTACACTTCAGGTTGTTGGAAATGAATGTGTGGTGTGGCTCAGAGTTCTTAGTAGAGATACTAAGGTTGCAGCTAATCTTCTCTATCTTCCTTTTGCAGTAGTGAATTGGTAGCCTTCTAATATGAAAAGACAGAAGGTGCTAAGCTGTTGAAAAACAACTAAAGCCTAACTTTTTTGTTTTTCTGCTTTGAACTTGAGCCAAAACCTCTTTTCCATTTTGCATAGACTATGGAATAAAAAAAACCTGTCAAGTTTTTTTTTTTTCCTTCATTGTCTGTGTCCCATTAGGGAGATTTCCCTTTACATAATGTACTGTAGACTAAGGACTGCAACTGCGGAAGTCAGTTAGAGTTGCTTTTAAAAAGCAAACACACTGTAAAGGTAGACATTACAGTTACAATACAATTTGGTACAAGAGGAAACAGAAGGCGCTGCTCTTTAGAGCTTACAATCTAGTTTACATTTCGAATTTGTTTTCTAATTTGATTTTTTCTAATTCAATTCAAATTTAATTTTGTTATTTCGGATTCGTTTAAATTAGTTACTATTGTAATTCGGAAATCCAGATACATCCAAATCTTCGAATACCAAAAATGTAGTCCGATTTTTGTAACAAAAATGCACACATCTAGTTCCGTCTAGTTTCCACTTACATCATGTTTAGTCTACAGGAAATAAAGTGAAGGAAACTCCTAAATAGGACACCGCCAGCGGAACTCCCCAATTGTTCAACCTGATTGATGTGGGCTGTCATTGTTGGATGTTGTGATTGACGATGGATGTACATTGTGGGATTTTTTTTCAATTCCTTAATTTGTCAGACATTTGGGTGTGCTTTATTTCTAGGGTACATTTTTTGAACGAGTAGAGGTATTTTGTACCCCCTAATCATTCATATGGGGCTGTGGTATCTTGGGGCCCCCTTATTGTTAAAGGAGGCTTCCAGATTCCGATAAGGCCTGTCAGGGATCCGGGTATGACCAGAGATGTGTGGACTGACACAGGGAAACAGCAGGCTTCAGAAATGATTAAATAATAATAATATTTATTATGAGCTGCACAAAATAAACAAACACAGTGCAAAACAAAACAAACCTTAAACTAATAGGTACAGGTGCAGTCAGGGCTGGAGAGGTGGAGTGGTCAGGCAGGCCGGGTCCGAAACAATCAGGCAGAAAGGTACAACGGGAGCAGGCAGAAGAATGGTCAGGAATAGCCGGGTCAGTGCAGGCGGAGTTCTATCAGAGTCAGAGTCAAGCAGGAGAGTCGAGCAGGCAGGAGACAGGAAAACGGCACATGGGAAACAAACACCAAGGCACTGACTGCAGGTCTGGCCATTCCTTAAATACACCTCCTGCAATCAGCCTCAGGTGATGGCTGACTGCAGGAGTGAGCTTCTGGTTGCTGAGAGCACCCGCTGGCCAGCCCTGGTACTGCAGCCCACAAGGCAGGTGCATCCCACCACCATTGGTGAGTCCATTCCTTGCAAGGCCTCTGCACATGGACCCCCGCAACCACTGACCAGGGTTGTGGGGAAGAGGCCCCTGTCCTCATCAACATGGCGCAAGGTACTTCCTTCCTCGCAAGCTACTTCTCCTCCATGTTGGTATGGATTCTGGGGTGCTCACACTTTTTTTTTTTTTCTTGTTTCTTTTATGTGAATAAAAATCCATTTCATACTAGTATGAATGTTTAGTCCCGGTTCACATATATGCGAATCTAGATGTGTTTTGAACGGCTCCAATTCACATGACATGTGAACCAAAAGGGTTTAGTGTGTCGCCCGTTCACAAATGTATGGGCCCACCACATTGCAATTTGTAAAAGAGTCCTGTGCCATTTTCAGCCCAGTTCCGGTGTGATTTCCAATGTCATACACTTTAACAATTTGCATTGGAAGCACACCTGAACTGCTGAATGAAATTGCTGCTGACTCTTTTACAAATTGCAGTGCAAAATGGCCCTGCACATATGTGAACTCAGGCTCATTGGGACTTCATGCTGTTTTTTTTTCCTCATTATCCCGCTGTTTGTTTACATTCACCTGTCAGTCGCAGATCCCTGGCTGACATCTGAAAGGGTGAGTCACTGGTTTTTAGGACACCAGTGGGCATCAGCTTCTTGACCGCCAGGAGGAAAATTGCAAAAATTTGACTTCACTCTGCAGGTTTGTTCAACCAAGCACTCATTCTTTCAGCTATTTGCACAAGATTCAAACAGTGCAGTGAAGTCTCCTTTGTAGTGTTCTACTTCTGTTTAAATGTTCTTAGCTTTTTAACTCTCACAGTTAAATGTTCTTCAGCTATTTTTCTCATAGGATCAAATGCTAAGGATTGTTACATTCACCTGGCGAAAGTAAACTATTACACACAAATCACAAAATATATGGGAATTATTTGTTAGCGCCCAGTTATACCGGTGTGATTTGGAAATTGAAATCGCACCTGAAATCATATCAAGTGAATGTCAGTGTCTTAACATTTGCGATTTGCTGCAGCGCGATTTCTAAAGTAGTTCTTGTATTACTTTTTATGCAGTTTTGTTGCGATTTCACATACATAGAATATAATGGAAATCACACTGCAAATTGCAAGAAATCATTGAAAATCTTCACAAGTAGCAATAATATCTTCAGTAACTTGCCAACATTTAATCATCCTAATCTATTTGATTCACCCCGAAGAGTTATAGAACATTCAACCAATAGAGAAAATAGCCTAACACTATAAACTAAAAACATGCAGCCTGAAGAAGAAATACAATGGCAAGAAACACAAATTTCAAACTGATTTCAGATGAACAAGTACTGTATACGGAACAGTTTTTGTGCAATAAGAAGCACTGTAAAAAAGAGCAACAATGAAATAGTTGTGGAATTTCACAGCGGCAGTTCTTCACAAAAATTACTTTTAAAATAAATATTAGAATATTAAATATATTTCTCTGTATCACACTAATTATATTCTTATCTAATTTGTAGGTCTGTTGGTTTGCAATCTGGAGGAAAACAGAATCTACTAGAAATTAATTTGTATCTCTTACTGCATGATGACATGAAAATGCTTACATACTAATTACAAACTCTAAAAATGGCAATCTTGTGCTTTGCCATCCACTTAACATTTATGTCACAACATAGTGAAATCAAAATGCTCTGTTCCTTTAGTACCACTGAAAAATGACTCTTACTCATATACAATAAATATTATGCAAGTGTACTGTACATGATTGATACAAAATAAAAGGATTTTTTAACAAAATGCCAGACTTATTTATTGTGTACACAAATGAATATGCATGCCTAGGTTGATTTCCCCTGGAGGTAGACCAATGGTGCTCCAAAGCTCACAGTGTCTTCCTGGTATTTTAAGCAGCCTAGGAGTATAAGCTAGCAACTCATTCTCCCAATAAAAGTAATTTATTCATAAAGGGTACTGTGTGCAAGTTACAGCTGCTTACGTGTTCGGTAAAAAAAAAAAAACATATTCATAGCCCATAGGCTATGAATAAGGTTTTTACAGAAAAAAGTTTTTCTTTGTTTCTATTATAAAATTCTGCAAACAGATAATTTTTCTCCTTCACTGATGTGCACTGATAGGCAGCACTGGTGGGCGGCACTGCTGGGCACTGATCATCAGGGCACTGGAAATCTCCTTCTCTTGCTCTTGCCACTCATCACCATGTAAACAAAACACCAAATATAGTGTTTATCAGACAGATAAAACCTACTCATACAGCCTTAGGGGTATATACAGTGGGGCAAAAAAGTATTTAGTCAGCCACCAATTGTGCAAGTTCTCCCACTTAAAAAGATGAGAGAGGCCTGTAATTGGCATCATAGATAGACCTCAACTATGAGAGACAAAATGAGAAAAAAAATCCAGACAATCACATTGGCTGATTTGGAAAGAATTTATTTGCACATTATGGTGGAAAATAAGTATTTGGTCACCTGCAAACAAGCAAGATTTCTTGCTCTCACTGACCTGTACATTTTTCTTTAAGAGGCTCCTCTGTCCTGCACTCATTACCTGTATCAATGGCACCTGTTTGAACTTGTTATCAGTATAAAAGACACCTGTCCACAACCTCAAATAGTCACACTCCAAACTCCACTATAGTGAAGACCAAAGAGCTGTTGAAGGACACCAGAAACAAAATGGTAGACCTGCACCAGGCTGGGAAGACTGAATCTGCAATAGGCAAGCAGCTTGGTGTGAACAAATCAACTGTGGGAGCAATAATTAGAATATGGAAGACATACAAGACCACTGACAATCTCCCTCGATCTGGGGCTCCACGCAAGATCTCACCCCGTGGGGTCAAAATGATCACAAGAATGGTGAGTAAAAATCCCAGGACCACACGGGGGGACCTAGTGAATGACCTGCAGAGAGCTGGGACCAACGTAACAAAGGCTACCATCAGTAACACACTACGCCGCCAGGGACTCAGATCCTGCAGTGCCAGACGTGTCCCCCTGCTTAAGCCAGTACATGTCCGGGTCTTTCTGAAGTTTGCTAGAGAGCATTTGGATGATCCAGAAGAGGATTTGGAGAATGTCATATGGTCAGATGAAACCAAAATAGAACTGTTTGGTAGAAACACAACTCGTCGTGTTTGGAGGAGATAGAATGCTGAGTTGCATCCAAGGAAACACCATACCTACTGTGAAGTATGGGGGTGGCAACATCATGCTTTGGGGCTGTTTCTCCGCAAAGGGACCAGGACG